CCAGAACACGACAAAGGCGCAGCCCCCCACGCAAGATAACAAGGCTGCTCAGAACTAGTCGCCTCACACCCCAGTGGCAGCGTGCCCCCACGTGGGCGCACGTGGTCCTGTCCCCCCAACTTAGTATATATACCTCTTGTAACCCTCGAAGAAGGGGATCCGAATTCACTCTCTCTAAACTCCCTTGTAAAAGTGACCGTGCATTCCTTGTTTTAATATAATTCGGGCTACAGGTGTTCCACCTAAAGTCCTACCGGTCGTTCCGAGTGTTTTTACTTTCTTTACTTTACGAAATCAAGCCAACTATTCTAGACCCGGTCTAGTATAGTTTGACCGGTCAAGTAATTTACACCATCAGGAGGTGTGGAGATAGACCATGAAATACAAAGGTTTTAGGTTGAGCAGGACTAAGACCAAGTACAGGTAATGTCTCTAGCAATGTCATTGAACCTAAACCAGCCAAAAAACCGGCATGGCGACCAGTTCCCGGGGTTTTCCTGGCCAATCTGGGGTTTTGAGGTGTTGCACCAGACAGGTTTGGTGTTCAGTTCCCGGTTCTAGTAACACTACTCTCTAGTGGTTTGATGACGGAGTCAGAAGTTGAAGTGAATATTGATATTCATCTAGTATCTACAAAGGATAAGTCTTGGTACCTTGGATTCATCATTCATGTCGATGGGGAGATCGAAAGCGATGTTGTTCCCCATGTTGGAGCTGCTTGGATGAAGCGGAAGCTTGCTTAAGTTGTCAAGTGCTACTAGAGGATATTAGCAAAACTGAAAGGGAAGTTTTACTGGAGAGTGGTCAGATTGCGGGGTGCTGTTTGGTGAAGATCACTCATGTTCGGATGCTCCGAGTGGCAGAGGTGACAATGTTGAGATGGTCGTGGGGATATACGAGGATGGATAAGGTCCAGAACAAAGATTTTCTGAGGAAGGTGGGGTGGTCTCTGTGGAGGATAAGTTGCGTGAGGCTGGACTGAGATGGTTTGGGCACGTACGGAGAAGTATGGATGCTCCAGTGAGTAAGTGTAATAGGCTTGTGTTAGGGGACATAAGGAGGGGTAGGGGAAGACGTAAAAAGAGTTGGAGAGATGTGATTAGACATGATTTACAACTTTAAAATCTAACCTAGTATATGGACTTATATATGAGTGTTTGGAGGTCTAGGAGTAAGGTGGTAGGATAGGGTTTTGGGTAGTGTACTAGTGTTCCACCTTTGTGTAGGACTTAGTGCCTTAGTTTGCTACTTTGCTGTATGTACTTATGTGCTTGCATCTTTTGTACTTCTCTCATTTGTCATTCGCTTTACCTGTTTTTTGTGTTTCTTTTGGTTTGAACTGACGTCTCTTGGAATTTGGAAACAGCCTCTCTACTCTCCACGTAGGGGTAAGGTTTGCATACACTCACTCTCCCCGGACCTCACCTTAAAGATTTTAGTGGGTTTGTTGTTGTTGTTGTTGTTGTTTGAAGGGTGTGACAGAAAGTTTATCCAGCCTAATTGTATACTACTCCATGTGAATTTGCACTATTTTTTAATTTCACTGACTCCGACAGTTGGGATTAAGGGGCATATAATGATGATGATGACTATAAAGATAATATACTATGAAATGAGTAAATGACTTGCTCCACTCTTTCTCTTTTTATATTTTTATCTTGTGCAAGGTTCTACAGCAAGTAGGTGGTGATGTGGATGCTGCAATTGAATTTCTTGTATTAGAACAACAATCTGAAATCCAATATTCTACAAACAATGAATCTGCACGTTTAGCTAACTCTTGTCATGGTAATGGCCGGTCAGTACATTTTCACATTCTTCTATATGATATCATCTACTCCATCTGTCATAAAAGGTCTTGTTTGAAAAGCTTCGTTTGCCCTAAGAGAGAGTCACGTTTCAAAAAACATACTCATAGCTAGTTTTTCATGTAAATTTCCCATAGGAAATTAAAAACAATTTTAAATGATAAATCTAACTAAAACATTTTTTTACAAATGATTAGGATTGCATGACTTTTGTTGAGTATCCCACATTGGTTGTCCATTTGGTTTGAATCTAATTACTCCGTAGTTTATAAGAAGATTGAGGTAAAGCACATATATTAAGGTTTTTTTTCAGATTAGTTTCAATGAAACATGGTATTACTCTATTAGAGTCGAGCCTGGTGGTTCGTGAGGCGCCTGACCCACTCTGTGGTTTCTGTTTGGGGTCTGTTTCTGCACACTTGTCCACCTCTTCAGTTGCCTATTCCAATTTGGGTTGAGGGGGTGTGTTGTGCATCTCACATCAATTAGATACTGGATTTTAGCTTAATATATAAGTGTGACGTAAACCCACTCTTTAATATCGATAATGCCTGTGGGAGACTAGGTGCATAAGGATGGGGCAAATTCTTTTGAGAGAAAAAAGTATATCATCATAAATGAAGTTAATGGGCCCTCCTTCACACACGAAGGTGGTTTGTATATACAATATACAAGATGAGCACATAGCTCTTGGGCCTAGATAATGCATGGGCCAATCCCACCCAAATAGTCTATAACAACAACAACAAAAACCCAGGTGAATCCCACAACAGTAGGGTCTCCCACAACAGTAGGGTCTGGGGAGGGTGTGTGTACGCAGACCTTGCCCCTACTCGGGAGTAGGGAGGCTGTTTCCAAGAGACCCCCGGCTCCACCTGCACAAAAATATGGAAGGGAACACAATATAGCACAGATAAAGCGCCAACAAGTACAAGCAATAGCAAAAGATTCCAAAAAAATACAACACACTACAAAACAACCTCTACAACACCGACCTCCTATCCAGCTACTCTAATCCTAGTTTTCCAAAGGTTCCTATCTAAGGCCATATCCTCAGTCAGGTCGAGAAGTCCTAAATCCTGCCTAATCACCTCCTTCCAATTCTTCCTGGGTCTACCCCTTCCCCTACTTCCCCCGATAACCGTAATCCTCTCGCATCTCCGTACAGGGGCGTCAGCATCCCGCCGTCTCACATGGCCAAACCATCTCAACCTCGCTTCTCGCAACTTATCTTCCACCGGTGCCATGCTTACCTGACGTCGAATGACTTTGTTCGTGATCCTATCCAACCTTGTCTTCCCACACATCCATCGTAACATCCGCATCTCCGCCGCATGCAGACGACGCACATGAGTCTTCTTAACCGCCCAACACTCTGCCCCATATAACATAGCAGGTCTGACTACGGATCGATAGAACTTACCTTTCATTCTAGGCGAAATCTTCGGATCACACAACACCCCTGAAGCTAACCGCCATTTGGCCCAAGCCACTCCAACACGGTGTCCAACATCCCCATCTAACTCCCCATCAGCCTGGATTAC